TGAGAGGCTGGGATCTGCTTTTTCTTCACATAGTTGATCTCTTTCAAGTGGAGACAGGACCAGTCCCTTAGCGATAAGATTTTAAAAATCTGCCAGTGGAATCACATGGCCAGAAAGTGGCATGGTGCCAGCTCCAACTTTATTAACAATTTCAAGCTTCTTTCCATATCTTAAAATGTCAGGCATTGTTTATGCAGGGAGAATGGGGACCGAAGATCCTATTCTGGGCCAGGGAAAAGATCTTCAGAAAAAGTGACAGACAGAGAATAAGCTGAGTAAAGCAGAACAAAAACAGTTTACTAGCTTACTGTTAAACCAATAGCTAAATTACTTATCTGAGCTGTTCCTGCTTTTACTAGAAGCCTGGCCTGTAAGGGATGCGGCTTGCAAACACCCCTGCTGGGTCTTTAAACAAGGTCTGAAGAATAATAGCTATAAAAACAAGCTATGTGCAAGGCCTGGGAAGGAACTATAATTAACTAGGCCGTCCCCTGCTCAGTCACAGTCAAAGCAAGTACCTGTTATGGGGATTTATATTATGGCCAGGGCAGAGATCAAGGGAACAGCTCAAGCTCTGAAATATGAGTAGGAGGACTTATACCCTAATCACAGAGGTAAACACTGTTGGGTGGAGATAGAAGGAAATTATTTTCTTTTTTTTGACAGAGTCTCACTACATCACCCTGGTAGATTGTTGTGGCGTCCAGCTCACAGCAACCCCCAACTCTTGGGCTTAAGAGATTCTCTTGCCTCAGCCTCCCAAGTAGCTGGGACTACAGGCGCCTGCCACGACACCTGGCTATTTTTTGTTGCAGTTGTCATTGTTGTTTAGCTGGCTCCTGGCCAATTTCGAACCCACCACCCTCAGTGTGTGTGGCTGGTGCCGTAACCACTGTGCCATGGGCACCCAGCCAAGAAATTCTTTTCTTCCACCTGATTCCTCAGAGGAGCCTGATGCCATCGTCATGTATGCTCCACAGAGAACTAGAGGGGATTAACCTTCCCAAGGGATCTGTGTGCGTGATTACAGACAGGAGGCTGCCCCTACACAAGGCTCTGGTTTCTGATTTCTTATGGCTGCTTAGACCCTTAAAGTTAATGATTATAGACAGAATAAGAACTAACATGCTTACTCAGAGAAAGTGCTGATTTTTTCATTCCCTTCCTCAGCTAACTCTCTGGGCTAAATGAAAAAATATCCTTCAATAAAAGTTGAGTGGAACAAACACTGGAACAGACAGCTGGAACCCCCCAAGGTAGCGTTGGTCCCCTATCCCACCTTTGAAAACTCTGTTCTGGGTGTCCTGTCTCTTTATCACTTGTTAGTATACAGATCTTAGACAACCCTGCCCCCAGGGTGGGATCCCAGCAGTTTATACTCACACTACAAGTGGTCTTGTTCAGTCTATCTCTAATAGTGAAAGACAAACCAGTTGGGTAGGGTAACTCACATCTGTAGTCCTGGAACTCTGGGAGGCTGAGACAGGTGGATTGCTCGAGCTCAGGAGTTCGAGACCAGCCTGAGCAAGAGCAAGACCCTGTCCCTACTAAAAATAGAAAAACTAGCTGGATGTAGTGGCAGGAACCTCTACTCCCTGCTACTCAAAGACTGAGACAGGAGGATCACCTGGGCCCAGGAGTTTGAGGTTGCTGTGAGCTATGATGACACCACTGCTCTCTGGCCCATCAAGAAATAAATGTTAGGACTGTTACTTGGAAACAGTGGACACAGAACTTGCAGTAGCTTAAGCAAGGATCAGTTTCACAGAAGGATGGCTAGGGTGTCTCTGATGGCCCCACAAGGGCTGACTGGCTGTTGGTAGGAAGGTCCAGGATGCAACCAGCCTCAGAAGCACCAGAGCTGGAGATACTGCAGTGCAGTGTGGCCGGCCAGCCCATCTCTGCTTCTCCCTTGGTGTCCATCCACTTTTTAGGGTCCCTCACAAAAGCCTGACTTGGCCATCTGTTCAGAATCATAGCCAGCTGTCAGCAAGTGAAATGCACCTCTGGGCCCAGTTCCTTCTGGAGTGGCACAGTGGGCCCACCAGAGGTTCTGACTGAGCACTGGAAGCCCAGGAACCAGCATATTCCATTGAGTCCCAGATGCTGCTGAAAAGAACTTGGGCCTAGAGTTGGAGGGGACTGTCTGCACACCCCTGAAGTGAGGAAGGGTCTATGCCTCTGAGCACTGGAGATGGGAGCCAGCCCAAACAGTTCAGAAACCCCTACTGCTCACAGCTAGAGCTCAGGAGGGCCAAGGTGAATTTGCTGGGGGCTTTTGCACCTGCCCATGAAACCCTAACCCTTTGCTTCTTGCCTTGCTTCCAGAGATCTGGCCCAAGGCCAGGGCCTTCTGGGAATGAACTTTGACCTGTCATTCATAGTGACTGCAGAGCCCAAAATGTTCCACCAGCCCCAGAAGGTGGAAAACAGGGTCAGGTGGAATTTCCAGGCCTACTGTTCCCTGTCCTGTGTACATTAGCGGCTTTTTGTGTGGCTTAGCAATCCCAGATCCTGTCTGCCTGCCTGCTCCTGCTGACTCATGGATGGTGGCTTCTAAAATCTTCTCCGGCCAGCATTCATTAGTCAGTTGACTGAACCCTGATTGCCCCCTCTCACTTATGTGAGGACCATCTGAGCAGAATGGCTCCCGTTTCCTGACACAGGGAGAGATCAAACTGGAGGTCCTGGCTGGCCACCCCCGTTCTCCTTGCTGGTTCCCTGGATACTCTTCCAGCTTATTTTCCCATCCTGAAACTCCTCTCAGGGCTCCTAGTGTGCTGCTTCTCATCCTGCAGATACTTGGTGGGTGGTGCCTGCCCTGTAGATGGTGCAAACCACTGTGCTCTTGTCTCTTGCTTGCTGCTGTTGAGTCTCTTATAAATTCCCTGGAGCCATGTGTGGACAGAGACCAGCGTGCCTTGGCCACAGAGAGGGCTGAGGTGGTCCTGCATCACATGGACACTGGAATAACTGGCATCTCTGGGTCAGTGGGGATGCAGAGATAGCCCCAGCTTGCACAGTGTCCACAGGGACAGGTTCTAGGGACTGCCAGGCTGTTCAGCCCCCAGGAGAAGAGCGGTCTCCAGCTCCTGCCTCAGCACTAGTCACTATAGCAAACACCACCGCATGCATAAATGCAGGAAAGTGCTCCTCTCCAGGGGAAAAAAGTGCCATTTATTGAAAGATGGTATTCTCACCCTGTGCCAAGCCCACCACTTCCTCCCCAACTAAGTTAGAGAAAACAACCCTCCCTCAACCCCAAAGATCCAAGTATGTTTCCATTCAGAGCAAATCAATTTGGTCCAGAGCACCAGAAGAAGAAAGTGAATGGGTTTTTACATGTGAAATTCACTCCTTAACCTTAGGCTTTTTATTGTGTGCTGCTACACATTTGTATATTCAAATCTCCGTGGGATACAAAAAGGAATTTTCTTTTTCTAGGCACAGGGTATTACTCTGTTGCCCAGGCTGGAGTACAGTGACATCATCACACCTCACTGCAGTCTCCAACTCTCAGGCTCCTGCAATCCTCCTGCTTTGGCTTCCTGAGTTGATGGGACTGCAGGTGCTCACCACTGTAGCCTGGTGCTGTATCTGTTTTTATTTTATTTAATTTATTTATTCATTATTTTATTTTCCAAGACAGAGCCTCAAGCTGTTGTCCTGGGTAGGGTGCCGTGGCGTCACACCTCACAGCAACCTCCAACTCCTGGGCCTAAGCGATTCTCTTGCCTCAGCCTCCCAAATAGCTAGGATTACAGGTGCCTGCCACAACACATGGCTATTTTTTGGTTGGAGTTGTCATTGTACTTTGGCTTGCCAGGGCTGGATTCCAACCCACCAGCTCTGGTGTATGTGGCTGGGACCTTAGCCACTTGAGCTACAAGCACTGAGTCTCTGTTTTTGTTTTTTGTCTGCATAATCTCTGATTGCCTATTTATGTGAGGCTTTTAGAATATTTTCTTGAAAGGGAAGAGAGATTTTTCTTTTTTTCTTTCTTTTTTTTAAAATATGTAATTCCTTTATTATTCTGTAAAAGATAACAAAATATATAGAACAAAACTTTCCCTTTTTAAAACTAATGTTATAAACCCATGTTGTCACTTATAAATACTACACTCTACAGCTGATCATTAATTAGGCATGTAAGTCCAACAACAATGTGTCCTTCTAACTGATAAGCAGAAAATCAAAAAGGAAAAAAAATCTTAAAAAGTTGATCAAGGCGTGCCCTCCCCGGGTGCCCCTGCTGAATGAGCCACGGCCCTGCCACCAACTGCACAGACTGACAGCAGGGGAGAAATAATCGTACATGTGCGAGTGCTTCAGCTGCAATCTAATTTTCAACCCTCAAAACATGAATATACAAAGATGGATCCTTCATAGAAATAAAAAAAAAAAGGTTGATTTGAGCTCATTTCAAATACAGAAAAAGTATGGCACAGATTTAAGCCATGATGTGGTTTTCTTTAATGGTACTGAATCTCATGTCACACATGGTACTGAATTAAGGCAGAGCACCTGTAAGTGTGAGCGACAAGCTCCACGCTTTGCAGCTGGAGGAAGACAGGAAGCGGGCCCAGGAGGAGGCCGAGCACCTGGGGGCTGACCTCATGGCCGCACTGCAGGGCCAAGGAGGAGCTGTAGAAACAGTCAGTGGATCAGATAAAGAGCCAGGAGCAGCTGGTCACGGAGCTTGCAGAGTACACTGCCAATTGTACATAGAACGTGGTGTACGTGGCTCCAATTCAGTACCAAGCGTGGAGCTTGTTGCTCACACTTACAGGTGCTCTGCCTTAATTCATTCAGTCCTACTCCAAGCACAACATGGGAGGTGATTCAATAGTAATCATAAAAATCAGGCCTGGTTGGCACTATGATACAATTGGAAAAAATAGACCAGAGAGGCTTCCACTGGTTCCCAGCCCAGAATATCTCCGCCAGGATAAACACTCTCTTTGTAGAGGAACTAAGGTGCGAAAGGGGGTGCCTTTGGGGTGCTAAAGATACAGGTGTGACAAGGCTGGCAGGGCCCTCCGGGTGCCCCTCTGCCCACAGTCCTGGCCATTACATGGCCTCAAACTCATCGATCCGCTGCTTGGTGTTGCCCTGCCGAATCTGCCTCAGCGTCTTGTACTTGTCCCGGCCCTGCCTCATGTTCTCGTTGTGGATGATGTCGTTGTGGGTCCTCTTGTTCTCATCTCTGGCCTGGGACAGCTCGTTGCTCAGCGTCAGCAGCTGCCGCTGCACGCGCTCGTTCTTCTCAGCCTCGGTGATGCGCTTCTCTTCGTTTCGGTCGTCCAGGATGCCCTCACTGGACAGCTCCCCGCTATAGCCCATGGGCTCTGTGCCCTCCTCCTCTTGCAGGCCCTCGGGCATGTGGTAGGTGACTGGCTCATACAGGAGGGGTAGCGAGGGTGGGGGCGCCGTCATCGCCAGGTGCAGCGCCTCCTTGGTCTTCACCAGGTCCTCCTGTGCTGCCCTGTGCTGCCACTCTTCCACCTTATCCTCCTTGCCTAGGGTGACCAGATTCTAACATCTGTAAGGCGGGACAACATGGCCAGGGGGCGGAGCGGAGGGCTGGGCAGGGCCTGACAACAGGGCAAACTTTGATAAGGAGTTCTCTTTTTTTTTTTTTTTTTTTTAGACGAGTTT